TTAATAAAATATAAAATAAAATTATTGTTACGCGCTCAAGTCGACGATACACTAGCGCCATCTAGTGTCAGGAACGAGAGCGAGGAGAGCATTGAGAAAATGACATCACAAATCTTTCGACCGACAGCGCCACCCGAAGAACTAAGTTTCTGGAAAATCTACACTCGAATACTCGTTGCCTGGCGCGCATTTACTTGAATGTTCGGGACGCTTCTTTGCTAATTATATAAATAGGCGCTGCAAGATGCGATCGAGGCAGGGCAGAGTTGAACTCGGCGACACAAGCGAAGCTTCGGAACGGAATTAAGTGAATTAGTGTGTTTGATTACTAGTGTTTTAAGTTTTAATTTGTTTAAAGTAAATTAAAGTGTTAATTTAGGTAATTTTATCGGCAATTTTTATTGTCACGAACCTCAATCTCGTAACAATTGGTGTCAGAAGTGGGATAAAATCATGCCGATTTTACCTAAGGAGGAAACGGAGGGTGTCCGTACCCGAAGTCAACGCCAGCAGGAGACGGACCAAAGAAGATTTGGTGGTGCAACGCCGCAGACATCGGCGGCCAGCCGTCGGCTGCAGGCCCGTCAGCAGCTCCTACATCTGCAGCACCTGATTTAGGTGCTATGATGTTGATGTTGCAGGAACAGGTCCGTCAGTTGAAAGAGCAGCTGCAGAGCGGACAAGAGGAACAGGCCCGCCGACAGGAGGAACAGGCCCGTCGGTTGGAAGATCAGCAGATGGAACAGGCTCGTCGGTCGGAAGAGCAGATGCTCCTCATGAAGGACCTTCACGCTACCTTTGGGAAAGAGATAAGGGACGTGAAGGATAGGGTTGCTCAACACGACAACCGCTTGTCGGAAGCTGAAACCCGAATCGAAGAACATGAAACACGAATCAACCATGTGAACAATCGGGTTGACAACGTGATGGCTGACGTGAAGAAAATGCTAAACGACCTCAAACTTGGGGATGGAACTATAGTTCCCGTAGTAGCTGCAGCACCTTCGCTACGTGGATTCAAAGTGCCGCCGTTCGACGGGACCTCTTCCTGGTCGGCCTACAAAATCCAGTTCGAGGCCGTCATGGAGGCGAACGGCTGGAATAAAAGCCAAGCCATGACTGCACTCACCTTAGGCCTGCGCGACCAAGCCTTAACCGTGTTGGAAGCTCTCGGTAAGAAAGTGACCTACGAGCAGCTCCTTGAGGCATTGGAGGCGAGATATGGTGACGCTCACCTGGAACACGTCTTTCGCGCGCAGCTTAAAGATCGCGTGCAACGCAGCAACGAAAACCTGCAGCAGTGGGCTCTAGAGGTGGAGAAGCTGGTGCGGTGAAGCATACCGGTCTGTACCTGCGCTCATTGAAGGGAACCTGGTGCAGACATTCATCGACGGCATCCGCGACCTGGAAGTCAGAGCTGCTGTGAGGTTAGGGCACCACGAGACGCTTAAGAACGCCTTGGCCCATGCACTGGAGGTGGAAGCCGTGCGGCAGGATCATCGTTCCCATCGCGTCAGGGAGGTTGCAGCAGCTACAGTCCGTGACCGCAGCAAAGGATACAGCCCTAGGTGCTATGGCTGTGGGGAAAAGGGCCATCTTCGATCCAGCTGCCCTAAACGAACCGTTGAAAGGAGAGTTGATCGATCTCGAGAGGGTAGTGCAGCTAACGGCACTGCCTGGCGGCGACAGGATCATCGTTCACCTCACGCTAGGGAGGTTACAGCAGTTACGGTTCGCGACCACAATAGAAGATACAGCCCTAGGTGCTATGGCTGTGGGGTAGGGGGCCATCTTCGGTCCAGCTGCCCTAAGCACACCCTAGGAAGGGAAGGTGAACGGTCTCAGGAAGGAAGTGCAGCTAACAGCACCGCCCAGCAGCAGCAGGAATACGACTTTACTATCAGACACTGCAGCGGGGAAATCTCACGGCAACGCAGATGCATTGACAAGAAGACCTTGTCCTGAAGATTGCAACCATTGTAGTAGGCAAGAGAGTAAGGAAGTGGTATCCGTGAGGATGCTCAGGACAGACCACCTCAGCAACGGGTGGAAGGACAGCCTACGACATGCACAGCAGGAAGATCCGGACATCAAGCCGATTCTGGGATGGATGAAGGCCCGTGCTACCAAGCCTAAGTGGAGGGACGTCTCAGCGATGAGTTCAACCACGAAAAGCTATTGGGCCCAATGGGACGGCTTGCTGATTCAGGATGGAGTCCTGTGCCGTAAATGGGACAATGGTCGAAGAGACAGCTGTCGTTTGCAAATGGTTGTCCCTAAAGCTAAAGTGCCGAATGTTCTACAGCTGTGCCATAATGGTCGTTCAAGAGTCCATCTGGGAGTTAAACGAACTCTACTGAAGGTCCGAGAACAGTTTTACTGGGTCCATTATCGTGACGATGTCGAGGATTGGTGTCGTACATGTACAAGTTGTGCGGCCGTGCGGGGACCTCAGACACGTAGTACAGGAGCAACGAAATTGTACAATGTTGGTGCACCACGGGATAGGACAGCCCTTGACATTGCGGAGCCGTTACAGAAAGGCGCAAGAGGGACTCCTAAGATCGTCCATGTGGATCGCTTGGCGCGTTATTATGGGGCCGATAATGCTCGGGACGAGCATGTCTTAGGAGGGGGCAGTGTTACGCGCTCAAGTCGACGATACACTAGCGCCATCTAGTGTCAGGAACGAGAGCGAGGGGAGCATTGAGAAAATGACATCACAAATCTTTCGACCGACAGCGCCACCCGAAGAACTAAGTTTCTGGAAAATCTACACTCGAATACTCGTTACCTGGCGCGCATTTACTTGAATGTTCGGGACGCTTCTTTACTAATTATATAAATAGGCGCTGCAAGATGCGATCGAGGCAGGGCAGAGTTGAACTCGGCGACACAAGCGAAGCTTCGGAACGGAATTAAGTGAATTAGTGTGTTTGATTACTAGTGTTTTAAGTTTTAATTTGTTTAAAGTAAATTAAAGTGTTAATTTATGTAATTCTATCTGCAATTTTTACTGTCACGAACCTCAAGCTCGTAACATTATTTACGAAAAAGTTCATTTTTTACCGGCCCTCTTAGTACGCTGTGGTGCACCTTTATATTCGGGGGCCTTATTTGCCTTAACCACAATAGGATAAACGGGTGAAGCAGAAGTTGACCCGTTGCATAATGCGTCAAGCTCAGACAAGGTCTCTAGTTGGTGCCTTGTGCCATCTGGAGTAAAGATATTGATAACTCCATCCCTAGTCCAACATTTGGTGATGTCATACCTTCGCCTAGCTTCTAGAAAAACACTATGGCGCCTCCTTGTTAGAAACTCAGACTGGGTTATACTTGTGGCCCTAAGTTTGGTTTTGGAGTACCAAACCTTGTCTCGCATCACAGTATCGCTGAATTTGACAACTACAGGCCTGGAAGATTTATCAGAAGGGCGTCCCAGACGATGACAACGGCTTATGGATGTTTTACTGAAACCTGGGACTAGGAGTTTAGTGCTGATAAGTGTACTTATGACGGCGGTAGTATCCTCAGATTTTTCTTCAGGAACTCCATGGAGTAGGATCATCTTTCTGCGGCGACGCATTTCACTACGATCCAGTTCTCTTCCCAAAAGATCTACTTGGTTATGCAAAGATGTTAAAGCAGCCAAGATGAATTTTCTAAAAGCATTAAAATCACCTGATAGACAAGATGAAGTTGTGGCAGCAGAACTAGATTGTTGTAGTTCCCGCTGAAAGTTATCCATTTGACTTTGGAATGACTTTGACATCTCCATAAGTGAACCTTTCAGTGCTTCCATGGTGAAAGTAGTTGTAAAGTGCAGTGATGTTAGAGAAAATACTTGGAAATAAAAGCTGGTAGGTAGTAATTTATTACATATAAATAATAAACATGAAATTCAAACTGTAACTATTTTTAAAATATATTTAAATCTAAGATGTCTAAAATGTGTACTACTCAATTGACCTACCCTCACAGAAATGTGAAAATATATATATATATATATATATATATATATATATATATATATATATATATATATATATATATATATTGCCAGAATGAGGAAAAAAAGGTGGATCTGCGTATAATTTTAAATTTAAGCTTTCGTGCTTAGTTTCGGAATTACCGATAACCAAAAAGACGTCTTTGAATGTGGTCTTACTAAGAAGTTAAAACGCTTTTTGTATATGTGTCTTGTTTTATTAAGAATTCTCCGTTGTTACGATAGTAAAAAAGTCACTTCTTTTAACCGGAGACCCTTGTTACTGGAAATGAGGCATTCCATCTCAGTCCTCGCGGGTGACAACGCATCTGCATTTTGATTTGTAATGGAAGATAGATGTAGATGTCTATGGGCCGCAACAACCACTTACCATCAGGTGGACTGTGTGCTCGTTTGTCACCCTATTCTATATATAAAAAAAAAAACTTCTACTTAAGAGTTTCGCGCCGTAAGATAAAAAAAAACGTAACTGACCATTTACGTTTTTTTGTTTTAACTTTATCGTATGTCTATACTGAACAAAAAAAGACATTTATACCAGATGCGTCCTTTATTTTAAGTACATGGTGTAGATGCGTTTTATTTTATTAAGGTGTCGAAAAGTTTGTCACTAACATAAAAGTAAAGTAAAGTAAAATTACAGCCTATATACGTCCCACTGCCGGGCACAGGCCTCCCCTCATTTCTGAGAGGGTTTCAGGGCAAGGAAGAATCCGCCGCATTGCCCCTATTGCGTGTTGGCGAACTTCAAATGTCTTCGAAATATTTTTTTTATTCCTCCGACATGCAGGTTTCGTCACGATGTTTTCCTTCACCACCGAGCACGTAGTAAATCAGCACTTAAAATTGCAATTAACAATTTCCTTGGTGCCGGCGGGGATCGAAACCGGGTTACTCGCGTTTTGTTATATTTCACTGTCACTAACATACTTATATATATTTTTGCGGCTTTTGTATGTTATATATATATTATAACATACAAAAGCCGCAAATGGTAGAGGCGTCTTTTCGTCCCTCTCCCTCCGCGTCACCCCGCAACCGCGTATCGCGCGCACTAGTGGCTCCACGAATGTTACACCAATATGCTCGTTGGTTTGTAACAAAGAGGCGAGCGTTCTCGACGTTTAGTTCGTGAAAGGATGATACACTAGAACATATTATCATAGAGCGGCTCGTTGTTCTGTGTCATGAAGCGACAATTAAAAACTATAGAACCTAATCTAACAACGAAACAACCAAAAAAGAAAATAATTTATTTAAAAAATTGTAAAGATATTTACAGCTTTTTTTTATAAAAAAAAAGGTATGAGGGTGATGATGGGCTGTAGTGATGATAGTGAATTACAATTTTTTAAAAAAAATAAAAGTTAATAAAGATAAATGAGTACGGAAACAATGTATGTACAGGCTATGCCTGTGGTAGATACACGCAGCGCTTGAAGTAGGCACACACAGCGACCAGAATGACACAACACCCGGAGTAGACACACACAGCGCCTGGAGTAGACACGCAGCGTCTGGAGTAGGTCCACGCAGCGTCTGGAGTAGGTACACACAGTGTATTGAGCAGGTACACGCAGCACTTAGAGTAGGCACACACACACCGCTCGGAGTAAGCACACACAACGCCCGGAGTAGACACACACAGTGCCCGGAGTAGACACACACAGCGCCCGGAGCGCCGGAGACACGCAGCGTCTGGAGTAGGAACACGCAGCGCTTGAGACAAGCACGCTCAGCGGCCGAAGATAGCGCGGGCACTAATAGGTGGAGGCGTAGCCGTGGCTAGGCGACGACTTCAGGAGAAGGCTTGCAAGATCCCGAGGCAGTGCGGATAAAGCCTTTAAGAGGTGCTTCTCGTATCAAAGCTGAAGTGAGAACCTCTATTGGCCGATTCTTCGGCTTTTATACTTTTTGACGGATCTGGGATAAGAACGAGAAATTATTTGAAATTATTTAAATTAAAAGCAAATTTTTGTAAATGGCCAAGAAGAAAAGAGTATTTTTGAAGTAAAAACATCAGGTCGGTAACGATATTTGAATAAAAATTGCCATGACAACCAGATAAACAACGATGTCAAAACATGTCAAATTTTGGTTTTAGGCTCGTAATAGAGAAACGGCAAGATTTAAGTGAAAAATGAGATATTATTGATATAGGAAAAAAAGGTAGCGCAACAGTACGCACGAAGCCCGAAATTGCAGAGTTACGGAGAACTAAATAAAATACCGAAAAAAGGTAGACTCCATTGACACCGATTTAAAAAGTGCTGATAAAGTGAAAATACGATGTGAAAATGATTTGTTATTGTGTTCTTATGGTTTAAAAACGTTACAGGATCCTATGAAAATAAAGGTGAGGCAAAATATCCAGTTTTGAGGCTAATGCAGAAAATCAAAAACAGAATGGAAAAATAAATTTAAAATAGTGTAAAATGATATGTAAGTAGCATAACACTACATTTTCCCCCCGACCCTGGAAAATTTTTGACTCAGCAAAAATTTTGACATGTACATTCTAAAATAAACCATAAAACACAGCTTTGCAGTAACAGACATCACCAGGCAAAATCAGATATACCATCTCTTACATTCATCATCTGCATTCAGGTAAGGGTGGAGTTCACATTCAATGACTACCACTCTAAAAGTGTGTTTTCGAAAGGACATTCAGGCTTATTTAAGGAGTTGTCATCCGCTCCTGCGTGGAAAAAAACATTTCGAAAGGACATCCAGGCTTATTTAAGGAGTTGTCATCCGCTCCTGAGTGAAGATAAAGTTAAAGAAATTAATCTTAAGCAAGCTTTAGTCGCTATGACTTAGGTAAAGGTTAAGAACGGCCAGAGCGGTAGGGCTCAAAGCCAGAGATGAGCAACATCACTTAAAGGACATTCAGGCTTATTTAAGGAGTTGTCAACCGCTCCTGAGTGAAGATAAAGATAAAGAAATTAATCAGGTAATAATTATACATATATACAAACATATATACAAATATATATACAAATGTAGTGTCATGCAAAACAGTATTAGCTGGTTCCTCACATCTAATCTTCACTTCGTATTCGAGTTCAGCTCTAACATCTTTGTTTGATTGGAAGAGAATCACCAGTATCAATCTTATGGGTGATTAAGTGTGTGCTCCCCAGGATACCTTTTTCTTCAAAAGAAATTGTCTTGAAGCGTTGGATGATGTCGTTAGCGATGTCCTTTTGGTTAGGAGTTAAATGCTCATGAGGTAAAACTTTAATATCTTTAGTTTCGATAGCAGAGCATTTAGATTCTGTAAAGTTAAGAGAAGGTAAAACACTAGGTAACAGATTAAATTTTCTCCAAAAGTCAATACCTAGTATTAGCGAAGGAAATATTTCCGGAAAAACATAAGCTTTAATCAAATGAGTTTGATTATTGAAATGAACAGGTAAGTCAAAATAACCCAAGGAATTAACTTTTTGATTATTAGCAGTAGAGACAGTAATAAGATCTGACTTGAAAAGTTTACAGCCCAGTTTAAGAATTTCCAAATGAGAATTATTACCCAGAATAGTTACTGAGCTGCCAGAATCTAGTAAACCAGATAAAGTTAAGTCATAAATTTTGACATTAACGAATGGACGATTAAGATCTTGTTCTTTGGAGTAGAGTGTAGAAGAGATTTTGTAACAAGAAAAGAAGTTTTGAATTGTTTTAATCCAACTAGCCCAATCGTCATTATTAAAGTTTAAGTTGCTTTTCAAGTCAGCAGTTAGTTTTTTGAACTAGTATGTGGGTGAAATATAGATGATGATAGGTTCATCACGGCCTTGAGTTCGGTTCCTAATCGCTTCTAGAAGTTTATAATCATAATCAAAACCACCAAAGTCTTTGATTAATAAAGAGGAAAGTTCGTTCCAAGTTAAGTTTGGATTCTGATTATATTTAAATCTGAACCAATGAAGAGCATTGTCGGTGAAAATTTCAAATGCTTGAGAGATCAACAAGTCTTTGGATAAGCCACGAGCTAAGCAGTATTCTTCAAGTTTTTGAAGAAAGGCTCTTGGACAGCTTTTACCATTGAAGGTGTGTCTTTTCAGATCTTTGAAGACGTTAGTTGGAGAAAAAGATTGTGGTGGTGAAGGATACGGGGTATGGATCTTAACAGAAGATTGAGAAACAAGAGGAGGTTCCATGACAGTCGGGTCAACAGGAGGGTCAAGTGATGGAGAATCATTTTCAGTTGAAGGTGGAGTCAAGGATTCGAATTGTTTAGTAATAGCGTCAAATTTCATCTTCAAAGTATCGAAAATAGCTTTAAAGTCTGGATATAAGTCAGTATCTATTCGCTCCAATCTGTAATAAACATGATTAATAAAAGTTTCTATTAGTCGTAAGTATTTGGTTTCACCTTGTAAAAATTTTTCAATTTTACAGTCCAGGTAGGTCAAAGTAGAACCAATTTGAGACAAGTCATCCTCGATCGGAATTGGAGAGGTCAGAATATCTTCAGGGTGAGAATTATCAACTAAACGCAAAATCTGTTTTTTTAGAAGCAAAACAGTATTAGCTGGTTCCTCACATCTAATCTTCACTTCGTATTCGAGTTCAGCCTTGTTAAGGAATTCGTACTTAATAACCCTTTTCATTGTTATAATTAAGTGCAAAGTTAAGTTTAAGAAATAAAAAGTTAATTAAAAATTGTACCTCTTTAAGTTAACTAGAATAAGAATATTAAAGTGATGAATGTAAGTGAAGTGTTATATGTAGGTATAAATATAATCCAGATAAGTTGAAAAACTAGATGAAGTTTTGTTTTAGAATTTGGAAGATATGATAAGGATGAGTAAATAAACAGTTAAGAATGAAAGAGAAAGCAATTAAATCAAAAGGAAATGGATAAGGCGTAGTTAAGGTGAAGAAAAGAGAAAAAAGAAAAATTAAGAGAGAAGAACTTTTACGTTGGGCGCCAAAATGACGTGAAGCGACAGTTAAAAGCTAAAGAACCTAACCTAACAACGAAACAACCAAAAAGAAAATAATTTATTTAAAATTTGTAAAGATATTTACAGTTTCTTTTATAAAATGTAAAGCCACAATTAAAAACTAAAGAACCTAACCTAACAACGAAACAACCAAAAAGAAAATAATTTATTTAAAATTTGTAAAGATATTTACAGTTTCTTTTATAAAATGTAAAGCCACAATTAAAAACTATAGAACCTAACCTAACAACGAAACAACCAAAAAAGCGGACACTAATAGATGGAGGCGTAGGCGTGGCTAGGCGACGACTTCAGGAGAAGGCAGAGGCTTGCAAGATCCCGAGGCAGTGCGGATAAAGCCTTTAAGAGGTGCTTCTCGTATCAAAGCTGAAGTGAGAACCTCTATTGGCCGATTCTTCGGCTTTTATACTTTTTGACGGATCTGGGATAAGAACGAGAAATTATTTGAAATTATTTAAATTAAAAGCAAATTTTTGTAAATGGCCAAGAAGAAAAGAGTATTTTTGAAGTAAAAACATCAGGTCGGTAACGATATTTGAATAAAAATTGCCATGACAACCAGATAAACAACGATGTCAAAACATGTCAAATTTTGGTTTTAGGCTCGTAATAGAGAAACGGCAAGATTTAAGTGAAAAATGAGATATTATTGATATAGGAAAAAAAGGTAGCGCAACAGTACGCACGAAGCCCGAAATTGCAGAGTTACGGAGAACTAAATAAAATACCGAAAAAGGTAGACTCCATTGACACCGATTTAAAAAGTGCTGATAAAGTGAAAATACGATGTGAAAATGATTTGTTATTGTGTTCTTATGGTTTAAAAACGTTACAGGATCCTATGAAAATAAAGGTGAGGCAAAATATCCAGTTTTGAGGCTAATGCAGAAAATCAAAAACAGAATGGAAAAATAAATTTAAAATAGTGTAAAATGATATGTAAGTAGCATAACACTACATCTGTTACAAGTAAATGTTGTAGTCTATACTCACCTTTCTATTTAGTTTTCATATGAAT